AAGCGTCTGAGAGCACGCGGCCCGCGAAGGAGGGCACGGCCAAAATGTCACCGTTCGAGCTCTGCTACAGAGATGACACCTCAGCAGTTTCAGACAGACCAAAACAGCTCACATTTAAGTTTGGGGAGTTTTCTCCTAAAAAGGGGAGGGGGGAAAAAAAAAAACTGTCAAGGCAGCTACCACCACCTGCCAACGCACCACCACGGAGATCTGGGAAGTGGACGGGAGTTTTCCTGCCATGGAAAGGTCCCAGGAAAACTACGGTCAAACCGTGTGTCTCAAGGCAGCTTCTGGCGGCCGTGAGCCAAGGGTTCGTGTTTGTCTTGGAGCGAAGCAGCGTCGCCTTCGCTGCCCGCCACCTACACGAGCGGCTGGCCCGCCGACACGATCGGCTGCCCTGCGGGATGTACAAGGGCTCTGCTTCGAGTTTGCGCGAAGAGTAAAAACAGGCACGGAAAGCTCTAGGGAAAAAAAAAAAAAATTGCACGCACAAAACCCGAGTCGTTTATCTGCTCGGAGCAGCGTTAGCTGCAATTTCTGGAGGCACAACCTCACGTGAAGGAGGGCAAGCCAGCTGACGACTTGACGCCTGCTGCCCTGCAGAAAGGACATTTAAATAATTAAAGAGTAAAGAAAATACTCCTTGTCTCTTTACCTGCATGTCACAAGGCAACGTGATCCATTTAACATTCATGTAGCTGTGCAGCAAGTGCAGCTTTGCTTCCAGTGATAACGTCACGCTAAAATTTAAAACAAGGATTAACAAAAAAAAGTTAGAGTCAAGTTTCATTTTAATATCTGAGGTTGTCTCCTCCGTATTTACAGTTATTTGCCTGTCGTCTTCATATTAAAATGCATGTTTCAACACAACAGGTAAAATTGCATTCAGACAGCAGTGATACAAAAGGTAACATTTTTGTAGCCTTCCAAACTTTTCAATTAAAACCCAAATGAATAAAGATTCCTGAATATCAAAAATCAAGCTTGCTACGGATTAAAGTGACCTCGGCAGATAATCTTACTTTTACACGAGACAAGTAACAAAAAAGCAGATGTCACAGATCTAAATAGGGCTAGTTTCAGAATGATTCTCCTCTCCACAAAAACAACTTCAGAAGAAGGGTAAAGATGTTTTCTCAAAAATTTCCACTTGCCAAAAAAAAAAAAAAAAAAATTTCTTTCCACTAAAAACACAGGGACAGAGTCTTTTCTACTGGCTCCAAACCCCTCAACATGAGATACTGTATCGGTAAAACCTGCGCTGAATTTTAATCTTTTGATCTTGGAGGTTTCTAGGCTTCCTAACCCAAAGTCAGATGATGGGCAAGTCACGCTTCCAGCTCTCTGACCACTACACCCACCGCTGCCGACTTCTGGCTCAATAACAGGAAACTCGCCACTACCCAACCACGAGACGGCTTGCCCAAAGTCTGAGTCAAAAATAGGAAGGGTGTCTGGCTGCAAGCCGTCCTCCCGGCTCCAGGGCCCACGCTCAGATATTTGTTATCTTCGAGTGGGGACAGAGGAATGGAAAAATACACCTTTTTTTTTGGGTGAATACGACAGCCGGTCATCAGATACCAGCCGGTCCTCCGTTGCTTCTCGTTTCTGAGCTACGCTTAGTCTGAAGCTCTAGGAGTTGGAGCACTCGCCTCTTTACCTTGCGTTAAAGATTTGGAGCAATCACCTCTTTACCTTGCGTTAAAGATTTGGAGCAATCGCCTCTTTACCTTGCGGTAAAGATTTGGAGCGATCGCCTCTTTACCTTGCGGTAAAGATTTGGAGCAATCACCTCTTTACCTTGCGGGAATGAAGCCGATGAGATGTCACAATCCTACCCAAAACGCACCGAGATCAGGGCATCAGAAGAGAACGAAGAAACAGAAAAAGCTGTTCCGTCCCCACCGAACAGGTTCATACCCCGAGTACAACTTTCACCCAGACGCAAGAAATCCCCAGCTGGGGACAGAGCGAGGAAGCCTCCAGCTGCGACCGCTCCGGTCTGCAGTTAACCAACCTGGCCAGCTTGACGTTGTCACTGTCGTCTTTTCCCCACTGCCACTCCTTCCCGGGATCCACGGCAAAGTGCACGGGGAGCAGCTTGTGCTCGGAGTCGGTCAGGGGGATCACAGCTGCACGAGGGACAGAAAACCCGCTTTTAGTGCCCGAAAGGACAAACCTTTCGCGTTGGCAGCCAAGCTCCGAGCGCCCACCAAGGACAACGTCAGCTCTGACGGCAACCGGTGTCACGCCAAATCGCGCAGCGGCTGCCAGTGCTTGGGATCACAGAATCATCACGGAAGGGTTTGGGTGGGAAGGGACCTTCCAAGGCTGCCCAGCCACGGGCAGGGACATCTTCACCCACATCAGGCTGCTCCGAGCCCCGTCCACCCTGACCTTGGATGTCTCCAGGGATGGGGCACCCAGCACCCTCTGGGCACCCTGTGCCAGGGCATCGCCACCCGCAGCGTGACAAATTTCTCCCCTCTATCCCGTCTGAATCTCCCCGCTTTCAGGTTAAAACCGTTCCCCCTTGTCCTATCATAGAATCATAGAACAGAATCATCGAGTCGTTGAGGTTGGCAAAGCCCTTTAAGATCATCCAGTCCAACCATTAACCTCACGCTGCCAAGGCCACCACTAAACCAGTCAAGGGTAGAGGAATAATTTCATGTTTCCTGGCTTGGTGGCTGGATTATTTATAATGAAAGTAAAAACCGGGAATCACTAAGGTTGGAAAGGAGCCCTAAGATCATCAGTCCAACCATCAACCCAACACCCCCATGCCCACTACACCATGGCCCCAAGTGCCACCTCTGCCTGTATCGCTACCGGCCCTACTAAACAGTCTGTCCCCATCGTCCTGCCGAGCTGTGAAAGGCCGCACTAAGGCCTCCCCGGAGCCTTCTCTGCTCCCCACAACCCCAGCTCTCCCAGCCTGCCCTCGGAGCAGAGCCGCTCCAGCCCCCGGATCATCCCCCTGG